GGGAGGGCATATTGGGGAGTTTCTAATCAATAGATATAATGCTTCAGTTAGGCAGGATGAACAAGTGGTAGAGATCTGATGTACAAAACCATGCCTACAGATAACAATACTGTATTTATTGTATACTTAAAATCTGTTAAGAGAGCAAATCTCTTGTTAAGTATTCTTACCATAATAAAATAAAAAAATAAAAAAGAAATGCCCTTGAAATATAAATAAGTAAACATGAAAGTTTGGAAAACATGTTAATGGATAAGAAGATCAAATATAAGAATCAATGCAATCTCAATCAAAATTCCAGCAGACTTTTTCTATGGAAACTGATAAGATGATACTAAACTTCATGCAGAAATACAAGAGCCTAGCATTGCCAAAACAACTTGTAAAAAAAGAACAAAGTTGTAGAGCCAACTCTACCTGATTCTAAGAACTATTATAAAGTGGCAGTAATCAAGCTGAGCATGGTGGCGCACGCCTGTAATCCCAGAGGCTCAGGATGCCAAGACAGGAGGATCGAAAGTGCCGCAGTCTGACTGGGCACAAAATAACCCAGCCACCACACAGCCTTATAGGTTCAAAACAGGAACTCCTTTATTCTCTGCACTCCCGAGAACACCACGCATGCGGCCTTCTCCCTGGACACACCACACACCACCCAGAAAATCCCTCCTCCGGAAATCTCTCCTCCCACACTTCCCCAACCAATGGGAACTCTCCAGGAATCCCCACAAGAACTCTAAAGTATCGAGAGAACTCCAAAGTAGTAGGCTGAGGCGGACAGTAAAGGTCTAATATACAACCGAATCAATCCAGCATTATCTTAATGGCTTGCCTCTCAACCAATACTATTGGCAAAATGCCAGGGGCCATTCTGACTCAGCTGTGGCTCTCAGCATGAAAGTTCAAAGCCAGCAAGGTACTTAGTGAGACCCTGTCTCTAAATAAAATACAAAATAGGATAGGGATGTGGCTCAGTTGTTGAGTGCCCCTGAATTCAATCTCTAGTACCAGTCCCTCCCACCAAAAAAAATGGCAGTAATCAAACTGTAGTTTTAGCATAAAGATAAATAAATAAATCAAGAGAAAAAAATGAAGAGTATGGAAATGGGCCCATACTTATACTGAAAAATGATATTTGACAAAGTTAAAAGTACTTCAAGGGAGAAACAACATATGGTGCTGAAATTATTTGACAACTATATGAAAAACATAAGAACTTCAATTCATATCATGCACTATGTACAAAAATTAACTAAAATGGACCATAACTAAGTACAAAACCTAAAATTTAAATAAAACTTATAGAAGAAAACACATCAGAGAACACCTTTGTGACCTTGGGTAAGGCAATGTTTCTTAGATGTAGCATCAAAAGCATGATCCATAAAAGAACAAAATGAGATCTTCTGATCTTTGAAAACACCATTAAGAAAATGAAATTGAAAGCCTGTGACAGAGAAGAGTAAATATTTAGAAAGCATACACCTAATAAATAATTTGGATTCAAGCAATATCAAAAACTCTAAAAACTCAAGAAAATCAGCAACACAAAATATTTCAATGCACAAAAGATTTGAAATAAACTTCAACAAAGAAAATATGTATGTGAAAAATAAGCACATAAAAAAAGGTTCAACATCATTAACCAGTAAGGAAAGTCTACATAAAACCACAATGAGATACAATTGCACAGCTTTATAACAGCTAAAATTTTAAATTTTAAAACAGTGACAATACTGGGTGTTGGAGAATATGGAGAAACTGGAACTCTCCTACACTGTTGGTGGGAATGTATAATCATTTTTAAAAAGCAGTTTGGGAGTTTCTAAGAAAGGTAAAATACACTTGCCATGTAACTGAGCTATTCCACACCTAGGTATTTGCTCAAAAGTAACAAACAAATGCATGATCTTATAAAGACTTGTACACAAATGCTCATAACAGTTATATTTATAATCGCCCAAGCTGAAAACAACCTGTGTACTTATCAACAGGTGAATGAATAGAAAATCTATAGTATATACAATGGAACACATCAAGCAATAAAAAGAAATCAACTATTGATTCATACAGCATACACAAATCTCAAGATTAATATGTTGATTGAAATAAGCCACATAAAAGAGTACATAGTTTATGATTCAATTTACATGATATTCTAGAATAATAAAATTAATCTGTAACTTCATAAAGCAGATCATGGATTATCTGCATAGAGGTGGGAGATAAGGAGGGATGTATTACAAAAGGGTCTAAGAAGATTTAGGGGAGAGAAATATGTTTATTATCTTGATTGTGGTGACAGTTTCATGAGAATCTATACATGCCAAAACTTCTCAAATTAAGTATTTGCAATTTATCATATGTTAGTTTTACCTCAATTAAACTGTTTAAAATACTTTGCTTATATAGTGGGATTCATTTCTATACCTCAATATTTTAAAAAACTTAATGGTTTTGGTGATTTATGTAATATAATAAATGCCCAACAAATGATAACTTTACTCTTATTGAAGATTAAACTGAAAGAATGTCAGGAAATGTGGTTGTTTGTTTTCAATACTGGATATTGAATACAGAAGGCCTCTAGCATTGAGTTACATCCCCAGTTCTTTAAATTTTGTATTTTGAGATAGGATCTAAGTTGTTGACGGTCTCCCACTTCCCACTTGCAATCTCCCCACCTCAGTCTCCCAAGTTTCTGGGTTACAGGCATACACCTACCACGCAGCAGAAATGTGTCTTACATATCTTACTAGTATCGGAGGTGGTTCTAATCTGAGATAATTGAGAACTGGAGCACCTTATAGAAAGATATTCCCCACTCCCATCGCCTACCCTGGAACTGGGGATTGAATCCAACAGCAGCTGGGCAAATGCTCTACCACTGAGCTTCATCCTTGGCCAAGAATATATTTTAAGCTATTAAACTTTAACTAAGATCAGCAAAAGGCCCATCAAAAGGCATTGTGTGTGTGTGTGTGTGTGTGTGTGTGTGTGTGTGTGTGTATGCTGGATTATGAAGCACTCTAACACCAATGTTTTACTCCGGTAAATCAGAAAAAAATTATCTGATGAAACAGATCTCACTTTTACTAATGGTTGGAGGTAGGAATTAAATTGGATATTTATAATTCTAAGAAAATACATAAGCAAAGCCAAAAATTGTTAGCTCAAATTAAAAATAAAATAAAGAAAATTTGAAACTCATAGGATTATGATGGAGTATTTTTACTCTCTGAACATTAAAAAAAGAAAAATTTGATGGTAGGCCTGTGCTGTGGTGCATGCTTATAGTCCCAACTATTAGAGATACTGAGGCAGGAGAATCAGTGGAAATCAGGAGTTCAAGACCAGACGTACAACATGGAGGGACCACTCTTTTAAAAAAAAAATCCCATATCTTACCTGAAATAATTCATTCTTAAGCTGCATCTAATCACTGAAAATTCCATATAGAAATTTCAACAATAGAGCTTTCTTTCAAAGTACAAGATACAAAGAGAAGTAACCATTTGTCCTTCCTCTTTATATGGTGGGAAAGATAAATTGGCACCTGTCAAAAAGATGAAATATGAATGACTATGGATTCTAATTCTGATTCCTCCACTCTTTTGATGCTCTTCTTTTACTGTAATAGCTTGAATTTTCTTCATGTCTAATAGAGAAGCCTGATTACATAGATGATGAATACGTCATAATTGAATATAAATACTGTACTTAAAGAATTATTTCCTAGAAGAAGGATTAAACTTGTTTGGTATGACACTCAGGATTCAAATTAGGATTGGTGGTGGAAGCTATAGAAAAATATTTTACAATAAGGAAAATGTCACTGGAATGTACTGATTTGGTCAATAATGGGTTTCCCATCATTGTAGGCCCTCAAGGACAGGCTAGACGATTATAAACGAAAAGTCAAGCTTACATTCTCAACTGGGACTAAGATGTAGTGCTGTATGTAGATGAAAATTCAAAACATTAGTAAGAATTTGTAAAAATAAGAGGACCTAAAAATAATTCTGGAGGCTTTAAAAACTTAACCAAACTATAAATATATCTATAGAATATCATCTGTCAATATCAGCATAAATGAGTGTCTGTCAGCACAGGATCTAGGTACTTTGGCAATGTTTAGTTAGGATACATGACATGATATGCATGAGGTGCAGTGGCACACACCTGTAATCTCATAATTTGGGGGGCTGAGGCAGGATTGCAAGTTTGAAGCTAGCCTCAACAATTCAGCAAGACCTTGTTTCAGAATAGTTTTAAAATGGACTGGGGATGAAGATAAAGTGCCCCTGGGTTCAATTTCCAGTACCACATTAAAAAAATGTAAAATATACAAGGTCAAGATTAATTTTTTTTTCTTCTTTTTTCTTTTTGGTGGCACTGGGGATGGAATCCAGGGCTTTGTGCATGATAGGCAAACACTACCATTGAGCTATACCCCCAGCTCCAAGATTCTTTGTATATGATGATGCTATTTGTTCTACCAATTTACCTGAGTTTATACTATCTTAAAAGCTGTTGATAGATAAATGGTAGATAAATCAATAAATATTTTAAGCTCTTGATTTTAAAATGCTTAAAAAATATAACTTTGGCTACCTTGCTAAATACAGATTTTATCCCTTACCACCACATTCCATCCCCTGGCATTTTTCATTATATATATGCAATATGTTTTTAATACATATATTATATTATGCATAAATATTAACATATGTTATATATATATGTGTGTGTGTATGTGTGTGTGTGTGTGTAGTTCAAGCATTTGGTTTTTATCAGTCCAAGTGATTTTTATTGTAGACAGAAAACCATACTTCAAGAAACACAAAGAGAAGCATGGATAGGCCAACTTCCATTCTTTCTATTCACGAGTTTATGAGAATGCTACAGAACTTTATCTTCAGAAGAATTTCTTCTTAAAAAACAAAAACAAAAACAAAAAACCAAAACACTGACACATCCCGTTTTCTCTTTTCTCTCAGGGCTAAAACCAAGATGAAATTTATGGTACTTGTCACTGTTGGGATAACTTTGTTGCTAGGAGTCCAAGCCATGCCTTCAAATCGCTTGTCTTGCTACAGAAAGATACTAAAAGATCGCAACTGTCACAACCTTCCAGAAGGAGTGGCTGACCTGACACAGATGGATGTAAATGTCCACGACCATTTCTGGGATAGGAATGGATGTGAGATGATCTGTTACTGCAATTTCAGTGAATTGCTCTGTTGCCCAAGGTAAGGAATGAAATCATAAAATGTATTGCTGTGAAATGTATGCAGAACAAATCTTTTTAAAAGACATTTCCTTTAAAATAGTTTTGCTGAAAGTAATTACCCATTTAAGTAAAATCTTTTTAAAATCCCAGCTGTTTTCTAGAATCATCACCATAATGTAAAGAACTAAATGTTTTTGTTTAAGAAACAGAATTTGACAGAATTTAATAAAACTAAGCAAAAACCAGAAAATTAATAACACTTTAATCAATTAAATTCTGAATTCCCCATTTAGTTTCTACTATAAAAAAACTACTGGTAGCAGAAATGAACATCAAGGCTGTCATCTTAAACCAATTTGAAAGCCAGTAAAAGGTTTTAGATAAAAGATGCTAGTATACAGTACCAATTACTTAACTGGATAGAAAAGTAATGATGAGTAATGGTCAAAGAAAACCATTTCCATATATGGATTAACCAGAAATGAACTAAATATAAGTTCAAAAATTCTACTTTTTTGGAAAAAAGGTGTATTTTAAGTATAAACTAGTGGTAGATAAATCAATAAATATTTTAAGCTCTTGATTTTAAAATCATCTTCTTCTAATTATTGAGTCTTTCAAATATTATGATCTTTAGTATACTGAAATTAACTTTTTTTTCAACATGTACTGTTATATTTCCATTCTTCTAACAAAGCCTAAGATACAAAGGGCAGATATTACTATTTTACCAAAGAAAGATACAGAGACATGAAAGGACCAGCACTATCTTATATAATTAACTAATATCAGACCTGAGACTTAACTTAGGTATTCAGATTTGTACCAGATTTTTTAACCCCTCTCCTCATCAAGCCAGTTGGTTTTCAGGTAAGGCTCCCCAAACAAGCTTCCGCATCCCCTGTGTTCCAGGGTTAAAAATGCACATATAGCCTAGTGTGGTAATTCATGCTTGTAATCCCATTGATTTGGGAGGCTTGATGCAGGACGGTTGTGAGTTCGAGGCCAGTCTCAGTAATTTAACAAGACCTATCTCAAAATAAAAAGGACTGGGATGTAATTTAGTGGCAAAACACTTTTTTGTTCAATCTCCAGTACTGCCTCCCCTCATATTATGCATACTTATTCCTGAATCCCAATCTACTGACTCCAAAAGTCTGGAGGTGCTCAGCAATTAGGTTTTAACAAATCATTCTCATGATTCTGATGTTTGATCAAGTTTGGGAATTAGTGTACTGAATGATTCCCAAGAACTGACTTAATTTTTCTTGTACTGTGTAAATGAAATGCCATCTAATATTAAAATAGAGTGCTCGCTGGAGTTGTGGCTCAGTGGTAGAGCCCTTGCCTCACATGTATTAAGGCACTGGGTTTGATTCTAAGTACCACATATAAATAAATTAATAATAAAGGTCCATCAACAACTAAAAAAAAATTTTAAAAAATACAGTGCTTGCTTTTTGTTACTGTATTACTTGAAAAAAAATTACTGGAATGAACTTGTATTTATTTATCATATAATTTTGTGATTATTTGTGCTAATGGATATAGAGAGGAATGTGAAAATACATAAGTAATTTCTCTTTGATTTTGGGATACTGCTTTCTCAGTAGCAACAGATTTACCTTGCTAAGTACATTTCTAATAAGCCATAATAACACATATATACAATTGTACCTTATTCTATACATATTTATACATTGCTTTATGTGATCTTTCCAATAAAAAAGTGTAGATTTTTGACATTTCTCTTTTCCCTATCAAACCTAGAAATTTATTTAATGACTAAGAAAGTTTTAACATTGTTTCTTATTAGCAGATTCAAACTTCACAGCCCATCCCCTTATCAGACAAATAAAACTTTATGTATGGTTATAAGGTTTTGAAATTATCTATTTGTTCCTTACTTTATAGATAAATGATAGCATGCCACCGGTGGCAAATAGGAGGAAAATAGAAGAATTAATTACCTTTTTTTGGTCCTTGTTAGTTCTGTGACATATCCTTCCATTCATCCCTTTGTACTTTATTCACCTGAAAACAATAGTCATATCTGAAATCCCGGGAATCACTATCAATGTTTATTTCATAAGACTAATAGAAATCTTCATTTTCAGCTAAATTTAATTTATATTCTATTTTCTTTCAGAGATATCTTCTTTGGACCAAAGATCTCTTTTGTAATCCCTTGCAACAATCACTGAAAATCTTCATGTATTCTGGAGAACACCATCCCTAATTTCCTATCAGTGTGCTGAATTTCTAGTTTCTATCCAGTGCAATAAAGCATAGAGTCTATAAAGTCTTATTTGCCTAGGTCAAGTGAACCTGTGTTGAGCAAGTACTAATAAAAGTTAATTCAATTTAATGTTTCTCTGTAGACCTTGTTAATAATGGGTAAAATTTTTGTCTTTAGATTTTCCATTTATGAGATGTTCACTATACTCTGTAAAAGAATTTTTTCCCCCCAGATGGATGTCAGAATCCCTACTCAAACATTGAGGATACTTTTAGTTGTTGACAGTTTTTTGACCATATTTGTTTGTTTATTTAGGTACCAGGCATTGAACCCAGGGATGCTTAACCACTGAGACACATCCCCAGTCCCTGTTATTTTATTATTTTGATACAGGGTCTCATTTGCTTAGGGCTTCACTAAATTAAATTGCGGAATTTGGTTTGAACTTGAGATCTCCTGCTTTAGCCTTCTAAGTTACTGGGATTACAGGCATGCACCATTGTGTCTATGTGTCTAGTTTCATGACTATGTATATTTAATGGAAAAAAAATGTTACAAATTGAACTTATTGGAAAGGAAACCAGTATTCTAGAAAGAAGAAAAATAGGAACTAATAATTAAATGTATATTATAAATGCCACTCACTTTAAATACATTTTAATTTTACTATTTAGAAAAAAACACTGAGATATTTTTCTTAGCTCCATTTTTCAGATACTATCTTAAATTTAAGGGGTACTGTACAAAGTATTGTAGGTAGGGGGAACAAAATATTGTGGGGGAAAGTTTAAGAAACACCATGCAGGCAATCGAGGAGATATTTTGTGACTAAAATTACATTATTTCATTGAATTACATTCTTGGAGGTCCTTGATCTGTTTCTGAATACTCCATTCAAAATAGTATCTAGTATCAATTCAGTTTAATAGTCATTACTGGGCTGGGCTAAACAATTTTGAGGTATAATTCAGTGTTTCTTAAAATAAATACAGGCCAGAACATCTTTTCAATATTATGACCTCCTATGAAATTCATGAAGATAAACAGAATTGTACAAAGCAATCAAATTACTTGTTTTATCAAGATAGTATATGATTTAATTGGCCTTTCTTCACTGAATTGACTGGCAATAAAATCAAGATTGACTCAAAAAAAGGTGTCTTAAATCCATTTTCTGGAATAGTGCATAGAACAGGTAAACAAAACCATCAGTAAACTTCTTTCATTTTCTGTTCTTTCTAAGTGGGGAAAAAGTGCTAACAGTCCATTATCTCTTATAAATGACATCAGCATGAGGGTACAAGTGAGGCAACAGTGGCTTTTTACTGTGTCTCTTTTGCAATCAAAACCTGATGAAAAAAACTTAAAAAAAAATCTTTATTTTTATTTATTTGTTTTATGTGGTGCTGAGGATTGAACCCAGAGCCTCATATGTGCAAGGCAAGCACTCTGCCACTGAGCTACAACCCTAGCCCAAGAAAAAACTTTTTTTTAAGAACTAAATTTTAATAAATGAAATTTTATAGATTACCGATGATTCTTCTTCACTGTATTCTTTCCTTTCTGGAAATAACTGGAACACGAAATTCAATAATATTCTTTTAGAAATGAGTGCATTATAGAACTATATATACTTCTCTATATTAACAAGTAAGTGTAAAACATAAATGTTCACAGAGTTTACCTCATGTAATTTTTCCGGACTTGGTGAATATATTTTTAAAGGCAAATATTTACTCATCAAACTAATGAACAGATATTTTATTTTTTCCAACAGATTTTAGTTATAAAGTACAATTAAGTTTTTATTAAAAATTTACTATTTTGCTAAATACTGTCTTAAAACAACTGAACTAAGTAAGTACCGTCTTTATTCCTCTTCTATGGACAAAAAATGCCAAGGTTTAAGCTGGGTGTGATGGTGCACACCTGTAATCCCAGAGGCTCAGACAGCTGAGGCAGGAGGATTATGAGTTCAAATCTAGCCTCCGCAATGGCAGGGTGCTAAGCAACTCAGTGAGATTCTGTCTCTGATAAATATAAAATAGGGTTGAGGATGTGGCTAAGTGGTTGAATGCCCCAGAGTTCAATCCCTGGTACCAAAAAAAAAAAAAAAAAAAAAAAAAAAGCCCATGGTTTAGAGCAATTACATAATTACATAGCTTAGCTAATGTTACATTATCAATAAGCAGTAAACCAGATTTTAAATATGGCCAATCTTATTCTGGTATCTTACCACATTGTTTAATAGCATCATCTAATTTATTTCCTTTTTAGAAAAGCAAGACTTTTCTGGATAGGAAATACAATTGTACATGTCAAATAGTTCACATGGGCTAAATGCTTTCTGAATAACAATGTCTTTATTTTAGCTTTATATCTGACTTTCTATATCCTTGTTTTTACAATAAGTCCCATGTTGCAAGCACCAGATTGACAGTAATACCAATAGCACATCTTTTCTTGATAGTATCAATTCCTCTTTTCTCATTATAATCTCTCACAGGGACTCCCTGAAAAAAAATATGTATATACATATGGGATTAGGTACTGATCGTACAGGATTATTAGAGAACTAGAAGCAACATAGAAAAAACAAAACAATGAGCAACAACTGTTGGAGAACAAGTAGGAATATTCAAAGATCATTTTGCAACTTTTAACTTCTTTGTAATTATCAATAGACACACATATATTCTTTCCATAATAAATCACATTTGAAAAAAGGAATAAGATAAGAATGTTTGCTTTTACCATTGTTCTTCAACATTGTACTGGTAGTCCTAGCTAGAGCAATTTGTCAAGAAAAAGAAATAAAAGGCATTCAAATTGAAAAGGAAGTAGTAAAACTACCTTTATTTGCATATTAACATGATTCTCTCTGTAGAAAATTCCATGGAATTCACAAAAACCAAACCAAAACAAAAAACTCCTAGAACTAATGAATTCAGCATAGTTCAATGGTCAACACACACAAAATCAGTTGTGTTTCTCTATACCATTAAAAAATAATCCAGAAAAGAAATTAAGAAAACAATTCTATGTAAAATAGCATTAACAAGAACAAAATATCCAGGAATAAATTTAACCAAGGAAATGAAAGACTTATATACTGAAACTATAAAACACTTAAGAAATTAATTAAAGCAGGACTAACTAAATGGAAAACCATCCCATAGATTAGAGTGCTTAAGATTGTTAAAATGGCAATCTTAAAGCAGTATACAGATTCAATGCAATCCCATCAAAATTCTAATAACTTTTTCAGTAAAAAATGGGAAAATCCATCTTGAAATCCATATGGAACTGCAAGGGGCCCTGAACAGCTAAAACAACATTGGAAAGAAAAACAAAGAAAGTAGGAATCTCACTTTCTGATTTCAACACAAGGCTAATAGACATGTAGATCAATGAAATAGAATTGAAAATACAAAAATAAACCCCAACATCTCTAGCCAATGATTTCAAAAAGGGTGCCAACAACATTCAGTCTCTTAAAAAAAAAAAAAGTGTTGGGATAAACTGGCTAACCACATGCAAAAGAATGAAGTTGGACCCCCTCTACCTCATTACCTATATGAAAATTGACAGTACACTGGTTCAACAATCTAAATTTAGCAGCTAAAACTATAGAACTCCTAGAAGAAAACATGGGCATTAATCTTTGTGATGTTGAATTTGGCAGTGGATTCTCAGATTTTATAGCAGAAGTACAGCAACAGAAGAAGTGCTATTAAATTGGACTACATAAACATTTAATAAAACTTTTTGTGCATCAAAGAAAATTATCAAATGTGAAAAAGGAACTGAGTGGAAGAAAATATTTACAAATCATGTATCTGATAAGGGTTTAATAAAGAAGTCCTTTAGAATAAAGAACTCATACAATACATGAAAGAAGCAACTGAATTAAAAAGTGAATAAAGGACTTGAATAAACATTTTTTTCTAGGAAGATATACAAGTGGCAGCAAGTGCATGAAAAGATGTTCATTACTATTGATCATTAAGAATATATAAAACAAAGTTACAATAAGGTCATTCACACCCAGTAGGATAGCTTTAATTTAAAAAAGAGTAGCACTCATGGTTTGTGGGAATGTAAAATGGTCTAGCCTCTTGGAAAATTTGGAAGTTCCTTAAAAAGTTCAATATAGAATTATCATGACTTGGTGATTCTACTGAAGGGTACTCAAAAGCAATGAAACCTTTATCCACAGAAAAATATGTACAAGAATGATTATAGCAGCATTATTCCTAACAGCCACAGGCAGAAACTGAATGTTCATCAATGGATGCATTGGTAAACAAATTACTGTCAGATACAATGGCATGTTTTTCATCTATGGTTTTCATCTAGGGACAAGGTACTGATACTTGCTGCAAGTTGGATGAACCCCTGAAAACAATGCAAAACAAAATAAACTAGACATATTGTAGCTCAGTGGTAGAGTGCTTTCTTAGCATGTGTGAGGCACTGGATTCAATCCTCAGCACCTCATAAAAATAAAGGATTATGTCCATCTAGAACTAAAAATGTTTAAAATAAAGAACATATACTGTATGATTCCCTTTATATAATATATCCATAATAGCAAATTTATGGGAACAAAAAGTAGATGGGATGAAGAGAAGAAGAAACGGGGAATGATTATATATGACTATTTTTGGGGGGTGATGAAAAAAGTTTTGAAATTAGAACTAGTGGTTGTACAACATTCTCAATTTACTAAATACCACAACAAACTGAACATTTTTATTAAATGATTGTACATTATAAAAATTTCCCTTCAACTTCAAAAAATCAATTCATATGGAAATAATATACAGCTTATTTCTAAAAATAAATGTATTTTAGGCATTACTCTTTAGCCTTCCCTAAAATTTTTCTTTTAGTTATCAAATAACTGACTTATTTTTTGAGCCCCTCTATAGGGTATGCTTTCTTCTTTTTTCTAGTCGAAGGCAGTAAAATTTAAATCCTTTCCTTGATGCTCTAATAATAAAATCAATGCGCACCCTTGTAGATAGGAGTACTTATGTATCTAGTTCTGATATAGATTAAAAGGTTTAATTAATTTATAAGTTTTACAACACAATAGCAAGGAATTAAAATCATTATATAAAACTTAACTCAATCTTGATGAGTTTCTTACAAGTCTCAGTTCATAAGACCCCATTTTTTTTTGTTTTAAATTTCTCTAACAAGGATTTAATTTCCTTGAATAATTACATTCTTATGCAAAGTTTCTGAAAATTAACATTACCAAAGGTTATGTTCATAGAGCTAGTTAAATGTAAACAAATAATTTCAAGTTTTCACACTTTTTTTTAAATAAGAAAAAGGAAGCCTACTGTCAATTTTTTTTAAACATTTTTTTTTTTTGTAATTTGTAGACACAACACCTTTATCTTATTTATTCACCTAATAGACCAGTTCTTTTTCTTTAGATATAGTTAGTACTTTAGCTACACCAGTGGTCCTTACCCAGTGGTTAATTTTGTCTCCATGGGGATGTTTGGTAATGTTTGGTTGTCACACCTTAACAATGCTACTGGTACCTGCTGTGTGGACTTCATAGATGATGCTAATCTTCCTACAATCCAGCACTGTCTCCACAACAAACAATTATCAGGTTCAAATGACAACCTTGAGAAACTCGAGCTCCATTAGTGATCTTTTCCATTTTCAGCATAAAATTTGCAGCCAATCATAGAACATTTCACTGGAGCTGTTGTTTTTGTTTTTTTCACATCACAAGCTATAAATCTGATTTGCAATTATTAACTAAGAATTTATCTAAGCAATACAATACCAGGAAAAGCAGAAGTTAAGATGGCAGAATCTGACAGAATGAAACATCAAAAGGAAATGCAATATAAATCAAGTTAGAGCTACATACAACAAAACTTTAAAGGATGAGTTTGTTAGACATTTAGACCTTTCCACACTTCGGTCATAATTTGCAACACAAATGTCACAGAACATGACTGAAAATTAAGGGGCACTGCAGAAGTATTATCTATTTTCATGCTATATAAATAATTTTCCTTAAGACAAAATTTATTTCTATATTCTTATTTCAACTTTCAACACTGTGTTTGTCTTTATTGGCACATTATGTCTTTTTTGGAAAGAGGTGGGCACATAAATGAAACTATTTTTTAATACTACCTCAAGTAATAATAACAAAGAAAGAAAATAAAAAGATGTTGCATCCTACTGAAAGTCTATTTTCAACTCTGACAGCACTATAAAACACTTAAAAAAATAATGCTATTTAGGATATCCTTAATTTCAAATCAAACTTCCCCAGTGAAAGCCAATGTAAATTACACTTGCTACTTAAGCTGTTAATTTCTTGGAATTTAAAAAAAGGGTTACATCAATGTAGGCTCTTTACATTAGAATTTCAATTAATATTGATTCCTAAAGTCAGTTTAAAAATCATGTTTCACAAAATAAATACACCGAAGCAACTATAATAGTAATAACCTTTATTTAAAATATTTTTAATCTAGGAAGCTCATTTTACATGAGTTTCCAGCTAATTATTAGAATCAGAAACAAAGGAAATAAAACCAGAGAAAATTCTCTGTAGAAAAAATACACAAAGAACATTTCTACATGTGAAAAAACAGTAAACAGTCTTAACATCTGAACATCCACATATTAGACTTAACGCCATCTCTCCTAGTGAACACCACTATCAACCTTGAGATCTGATTTGTTCTTGTCATTCTTCACTGAGTAGATGAAATATGTTAAGGTGTCTTTTTCATTCACTGGAATAGATCTAAAGTGGCAACCAACTATCTATAAAAAAAAAAATCGAGGAAATTAAATTTTAGATATAACAGGCTTCATAAAATAGGTAAAAGGTACTGTTTCATCAAATGTTCAAAAGTGCTATGTGATGATAAGAGTTATTTCTTTTAAAGATTAAACTATATTTAACAAAACAGCAACAGGACAAAAAAACACACAAAAATAAGATGTTATAAACAAAAGACAGTCTGATTTTAAAGGACCCTTTGACCCTATTTAATTAAATATACATTGATTAGCAGTATATTTCCTTATATTTTAAATTTTATAACTGGGTCTAGATCAGGAAGTAAATATTTCTACTTTTAAACTTTAAATATGCATCAGATAAAACACTGAAGACTCCACATGTATCACACTAGGAATGGTTTACAATTTAGAAAAAGAATAAAATGAAGTTCTCGAATTTTTTATATTAGTGAAACCAGGAAATAGTTTACAAATATCTTTGCTGCCACTTATATTTATTAATTTATTAGAATTATTCTTTATAAAGATTCCTTGAAGTTTTTTTTTTTTTTTGTATTTATTTTTTAGTTGTAGTTGGACACAATACCTTTATTTTATTAATTATTTTTATGTGGTACTGAGGATGGAACCCAGGGCCTCACTTGTGCTAGGTGAGCGCTCTACCGCTGAGTCACAACCCCAGCCTGGTTCCTTGAAGTTTTTTCTGAACACAACTTATGAACAGAAAATGAAAGGAGAAAGGGGAATGTTCATTGAAGACTGTATATTTGCTTCCTTGTCTTTTTGTGGTGCTAATCTAATGTGTGGACTACAACTAAAAATAGTAGAATAGATCAAATGGGAGGAGGAGGAGGAGGATGATAAGCATACCTGGAATCTAGATTTTTTATTTATTAAAAAAAATAGCTATAGAATAATATAACTGTTTTTATAAGTTTGGATTATCAAAATTTTCAGTTTTAAATTTTGCATTAAAATATGTATGCATTAAAATACACATTGCAGGGCTGGGGATGTGGCTCAAGGGGTATCGCGCTCGCCTGGCATGCATACGACCTGGGTTTGATCCTCAGCACCACATACAAATAAAGGTGTTATGTCCGCGGAAAACTAAAAAATAAATATTAAAAAAATTCTCTCTCTCTTAGAAAATAAATAAATAAATACATACACATTGCATATACATGTTGCAGAACAAAGGTGACTTTACTCAATTTGTATCTGATCTACTTCATGGAAGGCAAAATCTATTTTATTGCACAATCAAAAATGGACCAGATCTTTAAAATCAAATATAAAGAAAAAAGTTTTATTTTTGTTATGTAGGCAAGAAATAGAAAAGAAATTGTGGCTAAATAGCAGATATCTTGGATTTTAACAGCATTCAAAAAAATTTTGTCAAAGAACTGAAAAAGTTCTATTTATTTTTATCTTAATTAATATGAATATTTTATTTTATTTATTTTTCTGGTACTGGGGATTGAACTCAGGGATGCTGCCATTAAGCCACATTCCCAGCCCTTTTTTATTTTGAGACAAGGTCCACTTCATTAAGTTGTCCAGGCTGGCCTGGAATTTACAATCCTCTTGCCTCAACCTCCCAAGGGGATTACAAGAGTGAGCCATCACACCCAGCTAATATGCACATTTTAGAAAATTTTGAAATAACTACTAAATTCAAGCTACAGAATATGAGAAAACTGATTCATTTATGTCTATTCTTTCTAGTAAGTGAAAAATTTTATTTTAAATGATTAAAATGTAAATATATAAATCTATATGTATCTTAAAAATATTCAGATTTTTTGGTTCTGGTTCATATAATCAGTGAACTTTTCAAAACTAATGAGAGGACCAGAAATCCTATATAAAAGCAAACTATAAGTAAAAGCTTGGATAAGTTTTTGCTTCTCTTGATGTGAAGAAAACATAGATGTTAATAGTCAAACAAACAAGGACAAATTCTGAATAGTTAAATCAGCAAGTTATGAAAACATCTCTTAAAGACTCATTTGTAGACTCTTCCATCAGAAACTTCAAAAAATAAATTCTAAAAAATAATGGCATATTTGTTTATTATGCCTCAATCAGGTGTTCAATAAACATTAACTGATTAAATGGAATTTTAAAACTAATATTTCTAGAATGAGGAAAAAAATTTTTCATTCGATTGTGAAAGCCTTTATATGAAGACCTTGTACACAATCTGTATATAATCCACTAAGTAGTCATTACATATAGAAATTTCCTAAGTAGCAAATGTTTCTAGGCATCTAGATTTTTCTACAATAGATTTCTTAATAACTTTGATCTTTCTAACCAAAATGTATAGTTACATATACTACATTAATACTTTTGTTAGCAGTATTTGTTTCATCACCTCTTATTTGTGTATACAGGCTCATTTGAAGTTTATATAGTTTAAAACTCATATATACCTCAACAAGTTGAGCTTTATTAAGTCCTGGTCTGGTTGGTAGCTTGAAGTGTCTTTTGTATCGCCTAAGTGTATTTACTTGTAATTGGTATAAGTCAACCTAGAAAAAAGTAACATACATTAATTAGTTCAGAAATTTTTTTGAAAATTTATCATTGATATGCATAATAACAATAAAAGTTCAATTTGATTGTTGCAGAGCTATAGAAACTGTCAATTCAGATGTAAACATTCAAATTATGTACATGGAGAGTGTTAACTGGCTATATTAAACTTTGCTTTAAACAGAAAAAATTGTTTATCTCTTTCTAGAAAAGCTTTGGAATAGAATACTTATGGTTTATATTTAACATACAAAAGTTTTTTTCTACCTCTGGAGTATCAATGTCTTGAACAGGTGAATCACCTCCATCATCATCACTCCCTTTTCTCTTTCTTCTGTTTCGGACACTTTGAATTAAGTTTTTATGATAATCACAAATGTAAAGATGCCTTGCCTGAAATAGAAAAGTTTCACAGACTGCTTATGATTACATTAAAAATGCATCTATACTTTAGTAAAATGCATAGGCCACAATGAATTATTACAAATAAAAAAGTCAAAAACAAGCCATTGTTAATACAATGGCATGTTTCTTTCTACTCTTTTTAAATTTTTTTATTTTTTAGTTGTAGTTGGACACAATACCTTTATTTTATTTATTTATTTTTATGTGGTGCTGAGGATGGAACCCAGGAACCTCCCAGTGCTAGGTGAGTGCTCTGCCACTAAGCCACAACTCCAGCACTCTTCCTACTCTTAAATTCTTTATCTTGTTAAAACATAAGATGCCTGGCAATACTGTTAAGAAGAAAGGGTATTGGTTGGACAGGTGGGGTGCCAGTTGGAGGCAGGGGGTGGTACCAATTGAGGAAGGTAGGGAGGCAGAGATAGAGAATAATAAATTCCAGTCCTCTGGGTTTTGAGGAGAAACAGTGAGAATGACCTGAATTAGTTCATGCTAGATTCTTCCTCACAATAGGAAAGATGATATCGCTCACAATTTGGCTACAGTATTTTCTGTAGTTAAAGAACAGTATATTTTAGTAATGTATGATTTACAATCTAAATTTAAGCTTCAGTTACTAATTTTTCTTTCTATTAAATGTATATATTTATCAGAATACATTTTTCAGATTAAAGCAATTATTTTAAATTCAGGTTCATTTGAAATGTTTCTCATGAACACCAATAAAGAACTGTTACAATAGACAGAAAGTGTGACACACTTTTCTAAAACTTTACACTCTGGAGAGTTGTATAGTGACAATGAAATATTGGGTTCCAACTACTGAAAGTTAACTCCTTTAAAAAAATACAGTTAAGGGTTGATTTAACAGGCATTTAAATTTACTTCTAAGCTAGGTTCAAATTAAAAAACATACAGGACATGTGCTATGTTCTGTATCTTGTTATTTATTTACACAAGCCAGAGCTCTGAAAGGTAGCAATGGTTCTTTCTAAAAAAAGAAATTTAAAAAAATTCATAATGGTCAAAAGAACTGACGTGCAAAAGGACGAAAAAAGAAATCCCGATGGCTGCCAAACCGACTGCAAAACCGCAGAGGCTTACGTGCTCTCCACGTTGGGAGCAGCTGCCCTAAGAGCTGACATCGCAAACATCGTTTACAAGCTGGCTCCTCTCTCACTCTGCGTTCAGAAAAGACCCAACATCGAAAAGAACAGATCTTCCTCGACTGCGGTGCAGGGTCCTGCAGGACTCCACTTTCCTCAGACGAGGGGAGCTACAACTCCCTGGGGCCAATCGCCAGCTCCGGCAGCAAAACAAAGGCGCCTCCATTCCAGAAGACTGCCGGGCTACAGGAAAACTACCCTGGGCCCTCGGTGCGGCGGTCCCCTTTGTTTCGTTTCCAGATCACAGCAAAAGGAGGAAGAGGGAAGGCAGTGCGCGGGAGAGGCGGGCAGCGGGAGTCGGGGTGGGGGACTAGCAGGACTGGAACCACTGCATGCGTGTGCATACGTTGTGGCTGGCGGTCGAGTTGCAGCGACTTTGTTGTTTACTCCCTAACGGAGAACGCACGAGTCCGCACTGCAGCCAGTCTGCAGGAGCTGTGAACCCCGCCAACAACCCACGTCTCTGCACAGCTGCCGGGACTCCGCGGGGCGGGCCGAGGTCACTTACACTCTTATCCAGCTCGATCTTCACCTTCTTCTGGGAGATGCTCTTCTGAATCCTCTTGCTGAAGCTGGCGTTGCCAGCCGCTCGGCCGCACCGCTCACCGTCCTCCCGTAAACAGCATAGCTGCCCGGGGCCCGGCCCGGCCGCCCCCGGGGGCCCAGCCGCTGAGACCGCCCCGGCGCCGGGTACCTCAGCCCCGGCGCCTGCAGCGTTCCCGTTCCCGGCGGAGGCGGCGGCCGCTGCAGCCGCAACCACCGCAGCCACGGCGGCAGCCGCGTCCCCGCCGCGGCTCATCTCCTCAGGCGTGAAGCCGTTCATGTCTAGGTGCTCAGGGGCGCTGGCGCTGACAGAAATCCCCGCTCCGCCTCTCCCGGCCAGGTCCCTCAGGCGCCCTACCCGGCGGCGGCAATGCACTCTGCACCCCAAGTTCGGCGGTCGTCGGCCAAACACCAAGTATCCCCGGCCTGTTTGTCTCCGTCGGCGACGAACAGTGGACAGCGCTTGTGGCTGGGACCGAGAGTTGTGTGGCGCCTGGAGAGGGAACCCCACTCACTGTCACATGGAGACTTCAGCAGTTGGACCGCGGCTCCCCCGCCTCCCTCCAGCCCCTGAACTTGCGCAAGCACGACGCATCTCCTCCCACCCCGCCTCCTCCACTCTGCCGCGAGGCCCCACGGGAACCGTAGTCCTCCGTGGCGGGAGTCCACCTGACCTGCGTTCTGAACCTGGCGCCTGGCGGCTTGGAGAAACTACTCATCCCGGCATGCAGCGTGCAGCGACTGGCCGGCCTTTTTTTGTTTTTAAGCACCCGGCAAAGGGGAGTGCGGTTTTAGGGTGTCTTGCCTCCTGTTTCTCCCGGGAAGGTGGGATGTGTTCAGCTATTGTTCTTTTGCAGAGTTGGTGTTCATTCTGTTGGCCGATTCCTGAGAAGCACAAATTGTGTGTGTGTGTGTGTGTGTGTGTGTGAGACAAATGAGCGTGTGGAAAAGTTTCGGGGTGTTTCGTACGACCACGCTTTTGTGGAAACCTGAGTCAGGAACTCGGGGGACCAAGCGCTCTGTCTCAACTTGACCAAACACTGAAGCACCAAATAAATACAGCGCGGCGGGGAGTGGGGGGGAAACGCCCTCCCGTCTTGTCGACCATGCCAGGTCCTCACAAACATCTACTGACTAGTTCGCAATTGCAGGGCTATTTTTCGTCTCCACTTCCACCTTTTCAATCTCTCCTCAAAAGGCTCTGGAGAAGGACGCAGTTAACATCGCTCAAAGGGGAACGTAGACTCCCCCCCCTGAGTTCAATCACCACCACCACCACCACCAACAACAACAACCAAGTCAGCCCGAAAGCTCCTCGGAAACTTCCCAGCGTCAGTTCCACCGAGCGTAACGGGAGAGAAATCCGATTTCCTGAGTCGTCCACACGCCCGTACGTGCGTGCGGGCGTGTGTATGCCTGCGTGCAAGTGTGCTTGTGCTTGTGGAGGGAGGGGCAGGATGGGAGTGGCTAATATGAAAGCCTGCACCTTTGCTAGTTATTGTGCGTCATTATCAGCAGATACTGTTAACCAGTATCACTGTTTAAACAAAAATACGTACATTTCAGGCAGTAGATTTTTGAGGGTTTTTTTTTATACTTAACAAATTTATTGAAAATGCTATCTACACTGAAAGCCAAAGCTTTCCATTTCGTATGTGCATTTCAGTTCAATGAAAAAATGCATATAAAAAAATCTTGCTTATACTTTACTGAGCTTCTTAAATTATAATTAACATTTTAAATCAAATTTCAGAAATTCTAGGCCATTATGTTTTCACATATCATTTCTGCCGTTATCTAAACTGTTCCATTTCTGGGGCTCCAATTCAATACACATCAGGTCTCCCCCTGTATCCTTCTATCTTCTGCCCTGTCTTCAGTAATTTTAATTTTTAAATGTGTATCTCCTCTTATTTTGGATTCTTCTAACCTGCACGCATTCTTTCTTTAGATATGATTTTATAATTCTTATGTTGTTCTTTTTCAAACCTTAAGTCAACTTTTATAGTTCCCAGTTCTCTGGTAAAATTTTTGATTTTCTTCCATGAACATAGCAAAATAGTGGTTTTTAAAATTATGTTTATTCTTTCTTTTGTCATTTCTGCTGGTCTGACTCATGCTTGACTCTTTTGCATCCTTTATCTTTGATTTTTGGTATGCATTTTATCTGAGAAATCATAGAAATAATTTGAAGAATTGGGTGTTATGTTCCTATAGAGAGAGGCTTCATTTCCTTTTTTAAAGTGCTAATGGGTACCAATAGTTCTTGTGGATTTTTCAACCAACCAGATGATATTCTACTCTATATTCCCATTTTGGGCTGTGCTTCTTGGAGTCTTACCCCAGAGTGATAACTAGGGTTATCACCTTTCATGTATATTGGATTCCAACCCTAGATCCAAGTGATTTGACAGATGTTGCTTGATTCAACTAGTACTATATACATTTTAAAAGATAAGCATTCTGAAGCTATCCATTATCTGACATTTTGTATAGGATATGATTTCTACCATGATTTAATTATCATCAAAGTGTGAAGTGTACAGAAAAGTAGATGTAGTTCCCAGGTAATGCTGGAGCTTGCACTGGGTGCAAAATTATTTCTGCCTATCTATTGAGATAGAATGTTATTATCTTCAAAAAGAGATTGAACATAGCTCCCCAGGATCAGAGGTGTGGGCCATCATGCCCAGCTAGAGTATTTTTTGTTAAGGAAGAAGAGAATGGTTATTGGATAGATAATTAAGATTTTTCTACAATGATGTAGATTTTAAGAATGTTTGACAAAGGAATAGACGGGTCCATGCTACTTTAAATTGCTCAAAGAGATGAAAAATTATTTTAGAAATTAGGAAATGAGTTATTATTTTTAATTATAGGCTAAAAATATTTTACCTGTTAATCTACAAAATATGTTCAGGTATTAAAAATTCATCAAGTAAATATTTAAATATTTGTGACTTTGACACATGCATAGCACTGCACTAGACCCTATGAAATATATAATGATGATATACATTACTGCCTTTCAAGAAATTTCTAAACAATAATTTTTGATATTATACTTTCTGCTTTATAAAGCTCCTTCACAGGTATTATTTCTTTTGAAATTCTTAACTTTGTTCATAAGGTACAGGAAATATTTACCCAATGGAAAAACTCAGAGTGGCAGACACGACTGATCTCTGCCCCTGCCTCTCTGACCTTTATTATTTCAATGTTCATTTCTTTGCTTGAGGGCCTTCTCCTAAATTGTGGAAGGCAGCTGTGTCCATGTGGTCAGCGAAAGTTGAAAATGCCTTAGAATTAACTTCCCATCCTAGCAGCTTTCACCCACTAAAGAATTCTAACACACACCCACACACATCCTAGCTAAGTCTGAGTTTTACACTATTTCCCAGAGTTTTCCCCTGAGATTATGCTCCAGGCTTTAGCAGTTGTAGCTGCTTGATACTGTACCCTTCAATGACTGCATTCCCTACTTTTTCTTCTTCACCTTCCACTTATGTTTCCTGCATCCCTTAGATAAACTATCTGCACTAAAATCCTTGTCTCAGATTTCTAGTGGTCCTTTCCACTTGGTTATTTCCCCCACTACTTGCCCCTTAGCTAAAGTGCTAGTTCAACAGGTGGTCACATGATTCAAGGCAGGCTACCTAGAATCCTTCCCAGGGAATTTTGTTCAATCTAGAATAAGAAAAAAGGAGCATTTTAACTTTTGTTTCTTTTTGTTTGTGCATCATCCTATATCCATTGTAACATTGTCTGGCACAAAGTAGACACTTAACATTTGTAGAATAAACTCAATCCTTAGAATTTCTTTGTTGCCAACCTGCCTTGGTCAACAGCTATAAATTTAAAAATGTGTGAAATCCTGTTGTTATAGCATGTCACAGTGTCATAACATACTATTGTAGTTAAGAGCATGGGCTCAGGAGGCAACTGCTTGAAATTTAACCGATGTGATTCTGCAATCTGTATACAGGTAAAAATGGGTGTTCATAACCCACTTGAATCAAAGTGTGAAATATGATATGTCAAGAACTATGTAATGTTTTGAATAACCAACAATAAAAATAATAAAAAAAGAAATTTAAACTCTGTCACTTGACAGTTATTTGTGCTAGTTGTTTCTCAGTTCCATTTTCATTCTTTTACTCTCTTGTGTACCACAGGGTACTGGCATCCTAAAAAGCATTTGCCAGACTCACTTGCCTACTGATTTCAGTTCTGCTAATGGAAGATTAAAAGGCAAGAGAAAGACAGAAAACATTTTTTCCCTTCTGACTTCAGCAGCCTTAGGAGTGTTGTTCTCTTCTATCCTGGATCCAGGAATGGTAGGGGCAAGGTAAAGGCTGGTTGCTGACTTCCTGAAATACACCTAGAAGAGACAGTTCCAATAATGCCAAATATTCCAAAAGCCTCAGAAGCATCACAATTGTGGGTTTTTTATAACACTATTTGCCTTTTGTCTTTTTATTGATAGACGGTAGCTTTTCTTGTTCCATATTAGTATCAACACAAATATCAATAATTAAAGTTACCTCTTTTTGCTTCTCCAACCCTAATACTTTTGTAATGATTCTCTCAGTAATATTTCTCTTTGAAATATCTGAAGTGATTTTTGTTTTCCTAGTTGAACACTAACACTGTGAGCTTAGGCAATTACTTGCTCTTTGCTTCAGTTACTTCTATACCACAAAGATAATAGTATACATATCTCATTGGTGTTATTTTGAAGATTGATAGTTTTACAATACTTAAAATCATATAAAACACTGTTAAATAAATGGCATTATATATATTCTACTGTTAAATATAAATGGACTGAGCCACAAAGTTCATAAAATCTAGTCTCTCTCCATATATTTGTTATTTTGTGCAGTTTACCTCCTGATCCATTCTTGACCTTACTGCTTATCACTGTTACTTTTTTTTTAACCTGTGTCCTTTTATGCCTGTCTTCTCTGTTGCTTCTCTTTCATGTCATAAATCGGCATGCATGCTTTTCAGTGTATTTTTCTTATTTGCTGACATAATAGGAACATCTTGGAGACCCATAGGTTTAAGTGTTTGGAAAGGCTGTAATGGTGAGAAGATACTTAGGGTAGGCAGCAGCAAATGGCAGTGGAAAACAATAGCTTACATTAGACCCTGAAGATGAAACCAGAATTTTTAGCTTGGGATGTTGAGGGCCTCGTGTAGGAGAAAGACTTGAGAAATAGATTCTTTTGCTTAAATCTTGTCATTAAGATTATTTAAAATTTGGATGGAATTTTTTCACTGGCTTCTATTTTTGAATTTTGAGAATAGATTTGGTTTTGGTCTCATATTCAGCAGTCTCAGGTTCTAGGATTATAATTACTCCATTCTTAAGATCTTTGGGACCCAAAACCCTCAAACAAACAAATAAGGGAATAAGACAGGCCTATAAGATAGGCCTAAATATTACTGAATAGATAGAATTCTTCTATGTCTGAACAAGAGCTGGATCACTATCTAGAGAATTGCTTATACAAATTCCTAGTATGATTGCTTTTTTTATATATTTATTTTTTAATTTTTGGCGGACACAACATCTTTGT